GTTTTTTCGATTTCTACAGAGCCCAGATTGATTGATTGTGTTTCAGAGAAGAATATGGGTAGAGGAAGGATTGAGATTAAGAAGATTGAGAATGTGAACAGTCGTCAAGTCACTTTCTCTAAAAGACGAAACGGATTGATGAAGAAAGCCAAAGAGCTTTCGATTCTATGTGATGCAGAGGTCGCTCTTATCATCTTCTCCAGCACCGGCAAGATTTACGATTTCTCCAGTGGCTGGTAAATAGAAAATTTCTTGATTTTGTTTTCGATACGGAAAGAGAAAGTATTTTGCTTTTTTGGGTTTTTGTGTGTGTCTAAAGCGATTGAAAACAGAGTACAGTGTTTATCGCCGATTCCGTTGTTAATCTGGATAAATCTTAGGGTTCTTGGTGATATATTGTTGGTGGGTTTTGGTTAAAGGACTCATTTTTGGAGAATCGAGATTGTGTCTATGTAATTTTGCAATCGGATTAGTTGTGTTTCGTGTATAAACCCTAATTGTTGAAGGAAATGTGTTAGTTGTCTAAAGCGATTAAAAACAGAGTACAGTGTTTATCGTCGAGATATGAGATTTCATTTGCTATAGTCTGGCTAAATCTGGTGATATATTGTTGGTGGGTTTAGGTTTAAGGACTCATTTTTGGAGAATTGAGATTGTATCTCTGTAATTAGGGATTTGCTATTGGATTAGTGGGTTACATAAACCCTAACCATAGGAGAGTTTATTTGTTTTTGAGAGCTTTGTGTTTATTGAGAATGCAGGAGAAAATGTTTAAGTCTTTCTCATTAGTTTGGTGTAATGATCTATTCGATAAACGGATTAAGCTAATGGAGTCTTTTTTTTCTATCGATTTGTGAAGTATGGAGCAAATTCTGACCAGATATGGATACAGTTCTGGATCGACTGAACAAAATCAAAGAGAACAACAACTTCTACTTTGTTCTTCACAAGAAAATGGAGCTGTGGTATAATCTATAAGCAGAGATTCTCTCTACCACCAACTTTTGTATCCCTTTTAGCTTGCTGAGTTTGGTTTTCTTATGTGGTTGCTGTTGTTGCAGTTGCGGAAAGAGGATGTTATGAAGGGCGAATTCGAGAGATTACAGCTTGCAATTGAGTATGTATCTTCCCTGGATAAATTTGTGTTTGTTCTTGTGTAAAGTTTCGGCTTTTCATTTTGGTTACTCGGTTTGTTCCTGAACAGGAGACTGAAGGGTAAAGAGCTTGACGGTATGAGTTTCTCGGATCTTATATCTCTTGAAAACCAGCTGAACGATAGCTTGCATAGTGTCAAGGATCAAAAGGTGAAGAAGACAACAAACTAACTTATTCAAAGATCGAAAATTAGAAATGATTTGTGATTAGTTCCTAAGTTGAAAAGTTTTTGTTTTGATTCAGACACAAATCCTTCTCCGCCAAGTAGAAAGATCCCGGTTACAGGTAATAACAGAGCTCCTCAAACTGTTCTATCAATTCTTATACGATTTCAAATCTCATATCCTTGTTTCATTTGGTTACAATCATTAGGAGAAAAGAGCATTGGAAGAAAACCAAATCTTGCGCAAACAGGTAAAGATTCATCAAATCATTAAATTAGCTCGGTCTGGTCTGGTCTGGTCTTCAGCATACGTACTGAGGTCAATCTAAATTTTCCTCAGATAGAGATGTTAGGAAGAGGCTCAGTACCAAAAGTGTTATGTGAAAGACCTCAAATATCTAGCCCACAAGCCGAACCCGAAAGCTCTTCATCAGAAGACGATGAGAATGACATCGAGGAGCACCATTCAGACACTTCTTTGCAATTGGGGTAAACTGCAAATTAAACCCTAGTTTCTTTTACAAGCTTTCTCGTTTTGAGGACACTGGCAGAATTCAAAAAATTTGTCGTTTTGTCTTTTCTTAGATTGTCGTCGTCGGGGTATTGTTCAAAGAGAAAGAAGCCGAAGATTGAATTGCTCTGCGATAACTCTGGGAGTCAAGTGGCTTCCGATTGATCGAACTCAATTACTCTTCTAATTACAATGGTGTTTAGGGTTATCTTGTGTATCCTCCATGTTCCTGGCTTGTTCTCTTGCTTTTATATCCGTATCAAGTAGAGATTTTTCTTTTTTAATGTTTAGGTGAACAATTTTCGTAATTCAAGAAAGGATTTGATTAATCAATAACATTAGATATTCTTATCGAAAGTTCCCAACACAAACACCATTACGTGTGATGAATGTACCTTTTTCTAACAACTTTGTATCAAATTTTCAGCAAATTCTAGCACATTGACATTTACATAGCAATAGAAGATGCAAATCATAACATTTTTTAATAAAATTAAGAGAGTAAATGCTCAAATACAGGGTTTACTCAGTTTGT